TGCCGAAGAAAATCCAGTTTTGATCTTGTGGATACGATGAATCGTCATCGAGATATGAAAGCTCAAAGTTGAAGTGAGTTTACCGCAAAACAACGTACCGTACAATAAAAATCGAAAGTGATTTTGATTGTTTGGAGCATAGATTTTATAACTATGAAAATTTGTTTAATTCGGAAATGTATTTTAACTGTTCTGATGAAAAAAAGATTGATACGTTTCACAGGAATCGAGCAGAGAGTCAAAAGTGAGGAGCGGAGCAGCATAATTCACTCGCGCAATTTCAATCGACTTTTTCTCAGCTTCTACAACAGATAAATAGTAGATGATTTTTTAATCGATAGAGGGAAGCAAGATCTATTCGAATTTTACAATGTCGATTCAAAAAATCTTTCAATTTAAATTTATATGTAAAATAAAGAACATTTCAATTTTTAAATTTCAAAAAAATACAAAGAAGCCTTTATTTTTCAAAAATTACATCGTTTTCATTGAAATAAATTCTTAAATACGATTCTTCATTGCAAGGTCAGCATTTATTTTGAATATAATATTTCTCGAATACAAAAAAATGATGTACAAATTGATATTTAAAATAAATTAGATGTTAAGTAACGTAATTTTTTATTGACATTAATTGAAATACGTTTTATTATAAAATAAATATTTATTCTAATAAAAAAAAGTTCTATTCTAATTTACGATTATTCGACTGAGAAGTTATGGTCTATAGAAATTTCTGTAGAAGCCTCATTAAACTCTAACTCTTCATCTTCGGTTCGAACTGAATAAGATCTTTAAATGTTCCCTCTGTAGCCGTATCATCTGTAACCGGATCAATCTCTTCTTAGAATAATTCTTCCACATCTACTTCAATTAATGTCACCGGTTTCAAAACATCGGCATTTTTACATATTTGATCATAGCAATTCATACAGAAATCTGCAATGTACTACTTATGGAAAGTAGAAAAATATAATAGTATTTTCTTGCATTATAAAGTCAAATTTTCCTTTATATCACGAATATGCTCCTGCAGCAATTGAAATCTCAAGAAGCAACGAACACAAACTATTGTGAAGGTCATTTTACAGCAAAATAATAGCGATCAAATATAATATTTAAAATAAATAAAACAATTTCCTCAGTTATCCCAAGTCCCAGTTACCCTAGTTATAGTTATCCGTATCCGGGTATGTCAGACAATTTAACAAAGAAGACTGTTTATTCAGTTCAAGCTTTCGAGCACATTAATGTCTTTTTCTCAGGAACTCTATAACGGTTACAATATTATGAAAAAACTTTTAAAGCCCAAACAAAAAATTATACTTACAAATGTTTGGGCTTTTAAAGTTTTTTCATAATATTGTAACCTGAGGAAGAGACAACTTAGACAATCGTCTAATAGTCTACTCTAGTTATCCATATCCCTACTCAAATATTATTTTGAAGTAATGATCGCTTTTTCATTATTTTGATACAGATAATCATTGGTAAATATGCGGATTTTTCCATTACCAGACACAATTACTGTATTTTTCATTAACTGACTATATTTCAGTTACTGGATGAGATCATGACTTGGCTTGTGTTTTATGTTATGAAATACCAATATTTCAGAAATATGACCATTTTTACAATAATTAGTTTAAAATCTAACGACATAAAAACATTTCTTATAACTTTTTATCCCATTATTTAAACAGTCAACTGAAGTACTGGCCAAGACTGAGAGCAATGGCGTGAAAGGAAAACAGGGGCAATATTTAAACGTCCTGAAGAGTCAGGTTCTCGTAAGTAATTCTCTGTATCAACATACCGTCCGTGTTAAAATTCTTTAATACATACTAATTACATTAATTAAAGTAATAAGTACATAATTTACAACTACATAATTCCAGTATATTTATCAAGGCTGCCGATAGTTTAAAAGTGGAATTAGAGATGTAAATCAATCGAATTGATGCGGATAGACCAGGTCTGTCGGCGACTATAGAACTACCAGCTCTTAATTAATTATCTGTATTCCGCGGGACGCTATTGGTCAGCCGGGTTTATGGTCTCAACTAGCGTTCGAGGACAAACAATTACGCTTTACTAAACCGTCGATTGTTGATTAACTAAGGCGATTGCATTACTGGTCTTGCACGTATTTATATTATTGTAATCGTCTTGGTACAGCGTGTCGGACACGCCTACAAAATCTCGCGTTTGTCAATGAGTGATTAAGTTATGATCTGGCACATACCTAATCATACAAATAATAAAACATGGAAGATTCATAATAGTTCTTCCGTGTAAGTTACTGAATGTTGAATTTGATTAAATCAAATTTTGAATAATATGCATGTGTTTTTGAAAAAGTACCATCTCTAAACAAAGACAAATTTTTTTAATTCAGGCGGTAGAGCAGTAAAAGTAGGCTTTAGCGTTTGTGTTTGAAGTCATCTATTTTGTTGAAAAGAAAAATCTCAAATACTATGTAAATGTAGAATAAGAATCCGAGTTTGCCTTTTCCAAAAAACCATTGCTAAATTCAGGGGAACAACAAACATGCAAAAAGAACGAAAAATGATCAATTTTTCGATATATTTTTCCCTGTAACATTGAAAGTAAGCCCTAAATTAACAAGTCATTCTTTATTTTTTTTTGTTCATTGACGATTTTCTATAAAGTTGCAACAACTTCGAATCAAAAAAGTTGAATTTTGCATTAACAGTACGCGTACCGTGGGTTTAAATTAAAGTTTAGAAAGGGCACACAATTTTTTAGACATACTTATTGTCATAATAAACAATGATCAGTACTAAAAATGTTTACACTTTTATAACCATTTAGATTTTTTTTTAATTTTTCAAGATTTTACTCTATAAACAATTATTTATTGCCCAGGGAATTTTATATGCAAAATGAGATGATGATGAATATTAAATTGGCATATTCGATGAAACCATAATTCTTAGGATATCAAAACTGCTTAAAATCATGATTTCATCAAATTGAATCAAAGGAACGTTAATCAACGACAATCTTTATCAGTCATTATTGAAATGATGTCCTTCAAACTTCAAATTGATATTCCATCATTTGATGTCTAGATTAATCGACAATATTTTGCTAAAATGGTCATTATGAAAATATATGTTCAAACTCCAAAGAAATAATTCATTTTGTATTATTTGGTAGTAGAATAAATTAAACAAAGATTAAACATAACATTTTGATTGCATAGTTATCGTTTTTTGATCAAATTCGGCCACGAGAAATCGTGTTTTATGACATGACGTCTCCTTAATTTATTTTTACTAAAACGACTCTGAAATAACATATGTGATTGAATATGAAATAAAATGATTGCTGTGTATGTATAGGAAATCTCTTGAATGAATCCTTGACATATTATTTTAATATATTTTTTCATGACACGTTTTTGCTTTGAAAAAATTATGTTTCATTAAAATGACTAGGATAAAATGACCAGCGAATCTATAAAATAATATTTGCTCTAGCAACTTCGATGAAATCATAAACAATATATTTGTGGATCACAAAACTATCAATAAATCACTATTTGGTCATTTGATGGAATCGTATCAACTGACTATTTCTCAAAGAAATAACGATTTTTACAAAAATGGTCATTCTTGAAATGACGTTCGTTCGAACTTCAATTATTAAATACTTCATTTTGGACCACTCATTGACAGTACTGAAATAAATTAGATGAATCTTTTACTAAAACGACCCTCAAATATCACAACTATATGTAACCATGTATGGTTAATTAAATATGTACAATAAATTCAACATACGATTAAGTAATTTTAAGACAAAAAGTTCAAATAAACATTGTTCCGCAGATGCTTCGTTTTTAAGACACAAATGTTAAACTTTTGTAAAAAAATTGCTATTTTGTAAATATCTTAAATACCCTTTACCCAATTTTGTTGTATATAATTGTACATATTTAATTAACACCCTGTATATTAAATAAATTATTGTTATTATTAATAAACTATTGTGTAAGCATAGTAGATAAATCTCTTAAATGAAAAAGTGATACATATTTATATATTGTTTTACATAACACGCTTCTGCTTTGAATAAATTGTTTCATTAAAATGACTAGGATAAAATGACCAGCGTATCTATGAAATTACCTATTTTTTATTAAAATAGCATCTTCGATGAAATCATATACGAAATATTTGTGGATGACAAAACTGTCAATGAACCACCATTTGGTAATTTGATCGAAACGAACCAAATGACCACTTCTTTAAGAAATGACAGTTTTTGCAAAAATGGTCATTCTTGAAATGACGTTGGGTCGAACATCAAATAAATACTTCATTTTGTATTACCCGGTATTAAAATGAATTAGATTATTTATAATTTTTTACTAATACATCCCTCAAATAACATAAATATAAGTGACAATATATTAAATAAAATGACTACTGTGTATGCATAGTAAGTCTCTAGTAAACGAGATATTTTTTTAATACTTTTTCCATGATATCTTTATCTAAAATTATGTCTCATTAAAATGATTGTAGAATAAAATTACCTAAATTTTACCTAAGAAATAAACTTTGATTAAAATAGCATATTTAATGACATCATAGTAACATGAGTATTTATTGAAGGATGACAAGACTGTCAATAATCCATCATATGGTCATTTGATCGCATCGAATCAAATGACCATTTCTCAGAGAAATGACAATTTTTACAAAAATGGCCATTCTTGAAATGACGTTCGTTCTAATTTCAAATAAATAGTTCATTTTGTGCCACTCGGTATTGAAATAGTGCAGTAACCCCTGAACATCCTATACGCGGGGCGACAGTCGCCACCGTAAAGGTTATTGCACCTGTCGTCTATTTGCTCCTCTCAACTTCGTAGCGGTAAACAACACACCTATAAGTTAGTCCGCTAACTTCCACATCGGGAATTATTGTTTTAGGGGGGTGGGGGGTGGTAGTGGGTGGGTACTTACAGTTTTAACAGCCGGAGTGGGGGCAGCATCCCGCCACCGGTGATGCGGATCTTGACGTGAGCGACTCCTTCTTTCGCGAACTCCTGCAAAACATATCGCTAAATGTAGCAAAATCGGGGACGACATGAAGGGTAGCGAGCACTGAACTTAGGTAGAGAATAATAATATACAGTCCCTCGTCCACTTCAGTAAGTGTCTTCTAGACTAAGTTCAGTGATTACTCAAAAAACAATTAAAAAATGAGAAAAAAAGTTCATATGAACATTCGAGATCGGCCCTTCGGGAACTTGATAAAGATCTCGTACATTATGTTTATACAGGGCGTCCCATTTTAATCGATCACCCCGAATAACTTTGCGAAAATTTGTAAAAATAAACTAGGCGGATGTTTCCAGGCGTGACTTATATTTCCTAATGAACAGGTATACTTTTCACCGATGAAGCAAATTTTCCTAGAGTAGGTGCAGTAAACTTTCATAATGTTCATTCATGGTCGGAAAAAAATACTCATGAAATATTTGTTTCAAGATGTCAACATCATTTCAGATTAAACGTTTAAATTACCCTCTTTGTTAGCCTGCACGTTCACCTGACCTAACGCCTATGGATTTCTTTTTGTGGGGACACATAAAAAGTATTGTTTATGCCACTCCTGTTGTCTCCTTGGAAGAACTACGCTTAAGAATGTTTCAGGCAGCAGATGACCTTCGCAATAACCAAGAACTGTTTGTGCGAGTGCGTTATAACTTCAACAGACGTATTAGGTTATGCTTGCAGCAAAATGGATATTATTTCGAGAATATTCTTTAAATTTAATTATGCATTCCTTGTTTTTCGTTTGTATTAAACTTTATTTCAGATAAATAACTTTATCTAATACAAGTCCCATAGTCATAAGTTATCAAACATTTTTCATTAATTAATCTTAATGTTATTATTAAATTACCAGCTTATTGAAAAAACGTGTCAATTTATTAATATGATAATTAACAATTTATTTGTTATGACATCCGCGTACTTTATTTTTACAAATGTTCGCAATTACCCCATTAGTGAACGATGACGCATCTAATTTTTTTACTAGAAAACTATCGGTTTTATCGAAAAATTACAAGAGGTAAAAAAGTTGCACAATAAATCAGTCTTCCCAATAAATATTTTTTAGTAAATAATTTGCTTCATATAAAAAAATTCTAATAAAATATTGCAATGGGGTTTACTGTTTCACTCCTTTATAAAATACGCCAATGATCGAACAAATATTGAAAAGTTAGTTAAGTACTACTGTTAATGAATAAAATGAATGACAGTGGAAGTTAATTCATTTATTTTTATTCAAATGGACATTCAAAACTTATTGTAATCTTCCCGTAATCCTTGAAAACTTATTAAGAAATTTTGAAATCTTCTTTTAATTTGTAATAATCCTATTGAAATCTTAAATAATCATTGAAATCTGCTAAAATAACTGAAATCTCCTGAAATGTTTTGTAATCTGTTGAAAAATATTGTAATTTTGATTTTTTATATGAAATTTGTAACCTTTTTTTAATTGATATTGACATCTGCAGATACATTACAAGAGATGTAATCTTCGTACGTTTTTTTCCTTAGCGGATCGCCCCTCGGTATTTTTACTTCAATCCTCTTATTTTTAGCTCTACATTCACTGGTACCATTTTTGCTACTGCATGTAAAAATACCCTGTATATTTGATCTCTGAAGGTCGAATCAACTTTCTGACTGATATGTTTACATTTTATGGCAAGGTTGATTAATTTTTGTGGCAAATTTCGTACAAACTACCGTGTTCATGATTTATGGTCTAATTGTGCTTCTGACCTTGAGCCTTGGGTTAAATTTAGGGGTCATTTAAATTTGGATTGTTTTTTTTAATCCAAAGATGGGAAAAGCAAAAAATACCACGTTCAATAAATATATACTTGGCCCTGCGTCAGAGGGACCCTAGGGGTCCTTTAACTGAATAAACAAAATGACACAAATAATAATTATTGTTTTTATTTATCAGGCTACTTTAATTGAAATAAAAAATTATATTTTTTGAAATGCTTGTAACTTCTAAACAAAAACGAATCGGACCTATGTTCATTAAGAAAAAATGTTTGAAATTAACCCAGCAATCATTTGTCATACAGTTTGTAGAACACGCTGTATAACGTCTTTCTTTTCGTAATAGGAAATTTGCAAAGAGGAATTCCAAACAGATGACGCAACCACTCTCTTTCATATCACTGAAGGCATTACCGCCACCCAGCGTGTAGGAAGCGAAGTCAAATTCTCTTATGACGAGAATAAGAGGAACTTAACAACACCGTCGACAATGGCAGTGACAGGTGTGATGGAACAGCTAGACAAGGCGTAGCGTTGTAACGTTCTTAGGGACAAATAATTTTATTTCAGGAACAAGGCGGTCGTGGGAGGGGTCACCGTGAGTGATACTGATGGATCTGGTAGTGACACAACGATGAAGAGAATTACTTAATGTATTCGATTCTAGTATGTAATTGTTTTCGTGGTACTGTGTAAACGCTATTGACGAATTCTTTCAGCCTTATGATTCATCTGACCCCGAGAGAAATGGTTGTATTGTTGGAATAAAGCGCTGTGTATTTTGTAAACATCGCTTGCTCATAAACGAAAGGGAATCCCGTGCTGACGAAGCTGTGTTACTGTGAAATGATAAAACTATCAGAAGTAAAACATTCAACTGCAGGAAAATTTGTTTTTAAGATCTATACAAAATCTATAAAATAACACAAGGAAATTCTACATTGAATAAAATGGTTTTTATACGACTGCCTTGCAAAAGGGGGTTTTGCGCACGGAAAACACGCTCTGAAAACGGTATTTTGCACACGCCGTGTGCTAAACATTTTGCACACGGTTATGTCATCTTTGCACACGCGTCTCCAGATTGTGATTTTTGTTTGATGTTGTCACCCAAATTATGCAATGTTTCAAGTTGGCTGAGTTTCATAGCAACCGTCACGGCTCCTTTATTTTGTTGATTAGATACTTCAAAAATTGTTGAATTCCTGAAGTTTGGGTGTGAAAATGTGTGACTCTGAAGAGATTTTACAGAAAGCAAGCGAAATATGTTCGGAACTGCTGCCCACAAAATCCAGAAGCAGGTATGAAGCTGAGTTAAGCCGATTTATGGACTGGCGACTAGCCAAAAATGTCCAAACTTTCTCAGAAAACGCAGTAATGGTGTATTTTGAAGAACTATCTAAGAAATATAAATCTTCGACGTTGTGGACGATTTTTTCGATGCTCAAGTCAACGTTAAGTGCCAATCACAACATAGATCTTGGAAGCTATAAAAAGTTGCAAGCGCTAATCAAACGAAAATCCGAAAACTACGTCCCAAAGAAGTCCCAAATCCTCACAGAAGATGATTTTTGCCGGTTTTTGACGAAAGCATCAGACGACAAATATTTACTTATCAAGGCGGTGGTGGCAGTTGGACTATCTGGGGCATGTCGAAGGGAGGAATTATGTTATCTCAAAATAGAAGACACCAAAGATTTCGGCAGTGCTATGCTGATTAAACTGAAGAATACAAAAACAAAGGTACCAAGGTGTTTTACAATTACAGGAAACCTTTACACTATCTTAAAAAAGTACTGTGCTCTTCGTCCTCCTAATCTGAAGACAGGCAGGTTTTTTTTAAACTATCAAAACGGAAAATGTTCAAGCCAAAACGTTGGCATCAACAAAATTGGAAACATGGCTAGGGAAATCGCCAAGTTTTTGATGCTAGAGAATCCAGAAAGTTACACGGGACATTGTTTTCGGCGTTCATCGGCCACAATTTTAGTCAATTCTGGCTCAAATCTGCTTGCCCTCAAACGCCATGGAGGGTGGAAATCCAGTACAGTTGCCGAAGGCTACGTTGATGACTGTTTGAGAAATAAAATGGAAGTTTCGAAAAAGATAGAGTCTTCAGTGTCTTCTGCTGCCACAGAACCAGAACAACGATCGTCTACTGGAATACAACAAGAAAACAACGACCGCACGCTGAAAAACTGCACTAAAAACACGACACCAAAAATATTCTCTATTACCGAAAACAAGGTGCACAATAATACTGCTTTTCCCAGCGTAACCTTGAAGGAATGTTCAAATGTTACCATAAATATTAAATATTAGTTTCTTTTGTTAATGCGTTAGCAATTTTCTTAATAAAAACGAGTTAAATTAAAAGTTGTATTTAATTTATTTTGTTAATGCGTTGGCAATTTTAGTAATAAAAACGATTTAAATTAAAATTTGATTTTTGTGGTCTCTGTTTGCAGTCGTATAAAAAGTATCGTAGTAAAAAACTCGTTTGAAAACCTCTTTGCACACTCGCTCGACTTGTGGACCTCGCCTTCGCCTCGGTCCACCAATATGTCTCGCTCGTGTGCAAAGAGTCGTTTTCAAACCTCGTTGTTTAATATACTATTATCATTTGATGTCAAATGAAAAATAAGACATTTTAATTGGCAAACACGAAAATTATGGTCTGGGATTTACAGTTAATTAATTTATTTAAATCATACTCATTGAGTTCGTTCCAGTACGTTGAAATTATGACTCCAGTCAAATGTGCATATTGTCAAAAATGGAATTACATAAGATAGTAATTTAGAATCATATTTTTAATGACTTTTGTTACAAACGTATCACGTATCAAAAGATCTTTAAAGTCATAAGAAACTAAGATATTAGAAATAAGTTAAACATTAATATGTAAACTCATGACTAGACATCGAAAACTTTGTGCCGACAATCAAATAAATAAACAATAGTATTCAATATTATGCTAGTAAGCGGTAATACGCGTTGTACTAGCAAAAATAGGCTAAATCTACGGTCAAGCCGTGTGCCGATCTGTGCTCACGATACGCAACGCTAATAACTGCCATAAAACACGTATCACTCGACCAAGAAAAGCATCAAACTCACTCACACACGGAATAAAATGAAAGGCCAACGTCCCTCAGAAAAAAAACCTAGATTGCTCACCGGCACACTAGGCCGGCAGCCCGCTAGATACGTATCGAATAAATTGATCGAT